ATTGATTATTATGAATTGTTTTACTCACCCTGCCTGTTTGAATGTTACCTCCACGTGGGTAACGTGCAGATGACCAAGTCTAGCCGTGGACGCTGTCAAGGATTATTTTTTGAAGTTTTTGAGTTTTTCGCCTTTTGGTTAGCTTAGAGGGTCTTGCTCTGATATGTAACACCGGGTTGGATTCTTTTGAGTTAAGCTATATACCGTTGAGTTATTTTGCTTACCTTCCCATACGAGAAAAACATTGAGTTATGTTTTGAGTTCCGCTGCTTTGTGCAATTTGATGTATTTTGAGAAAATCCGTTGTATACGGAGCATTGACTTATTTTGAGACAACGAGATATGTACGCCCTTTTGGTGGCTTTTTATGAAATTTAATAATTTACTCTGATATCCGTGTTATTTTGTCATGATAATTTGTGGGGTAGAAAAGGGTGTTACATTAGTGGTATCAGAGCAGGTCGGTCCGTCCGGCCAAGTTGTCTAATGTTGTTTGTTCCCTTGTATGCGACATGTGTGTGAAAACACTGTTGGTACACGTTTGTTTTCTAACCTTTGTCTGCAGAAGTGGGAATGAAACAAGTGGGGGAGAAGCTTGTGCTTCTCCAGGATGCTTCAAGTGTGGAATGGTGGCTAAGTGTGTCGATGAATGCTCTTATAGTTTGGTAAAGATGGTTTATACCCCATCATTATTTTCGGCTATCTATTGACAACTTGAGGAACTGATCACCCTTAATCTCTTGTTGATAGTGGAAGGAGTCGTGTTGGATGGGATAGACGTGTCTAGCAAGCTTAGATGGCGTGAGCAGTGAATTGCTTTGGGTTAAGCTAAGTTCTTACAGATGGTTTTGATAAGTCGGTACAGGATGGTGTCGAGATGTTTACTTTGATGGAAACTTTGAGTGTTAATGAAATGTGGAAGTTGGTGGGTTGCCAATTAATTGTGGTTGTCCGGAAGTTTTTCCTCATGAGATATGTGATTTACTGCCGGAATGTGAAGTAGAGTTTGCGATCGACTTAGTTCCTGGAACTAGTCTGATATTGATGGCTCCATATCGTATGTCTGCATTGGGATTGAAAGAGTTGAAGAGTCAACTTGAAGATTTGCTCAAAAAGAGATTCATTCGTTCGAGTGTGTCACCGTGAGGTACACCAATTTTGTTGATTATGAAGGAAGAAGGTTTTGTGAGGCTTTGGGTGGATTATAGATAAGTGAACAAGGTGACTATCGAGAATAAGTGTTCACTTCCAAGGGTTGATGATTGGATGGATCAGTTGGTTGTTGCAAGTGTGTTTAGTAAGATAGATTTGAGATCTGGATATCATCAGATTCATGTGAAGATTGAGGTTATTTAGGAGACTGCTTTTAAAGCAAGGTATTGACATTATGAGTATTTCGTAGTGCCATTTGGGGTGACTAATGCACCATGTGGGTTTGTGGAGTATATGAACAGGAGTTTCCATACTTATTTGAGCGAGTTGATGGTTGTGTTAATCGATGATATTTTGGTATATTCGAAGAATAAAGAGGATCGTACTGAGCATCTGAAAATTTTGTTATCAGTGTTGAAAGAGAAGCAATTGTATGCAAAACTGTCAAAGTGTGAGTTTTGGTTGAAGGAAGAGAGTTTCCTTAGTCGTGTGGTCTCGAGTGGAGTTATTGTAGTTGATATGTCAAAGGTTGAAGCTGTATCGCAATGGAAAGCTCCAAAACCTTCCATTGAATGCAACAATTTTCAACAACACTTCGAAAAAGAAAGTATCTTAACCATTTTAATTCTTATTCTCTCTTGATTTAGGATATGAAATATTAACAAATAAAGGTAAAAAAAAATCTAGAAATGTTTTGATAAAAATGAAAATATGTAAGAATGTTGAAAAATATTGTTTTAAACAAATATATTTTCTTTTACTAAAAATTGAAATAATTACATACTAATTATAAATATTATTGTAATTTTAATTGTATATTATAAATGATATAGAATAATATCAACATCATAATTATCCTAATTTTAAAATTCAATAAAATTAATTATATTTTAATATGTAATATGTAAAATTCAATACGTAATCTTGAGTGGAATGTGATCGCTTGCTCTATTAAGTATTAATATTATTTCATTAACTTTGATTATTTCATTAACTTAAGCATTAAAGTGTTCAATCACTTTAAAATCTCTCATTTGTTATATAAAAAAGTCAATTAAATAATTCATACTATAAGTGACTATAGGTTTAAGTTGTTATCAACTTCGTAATAATATTCATATATTTAAAACATCCATTCTTAATTGAACGTTTGTTATCAACTTTATAATAATATTCATATATTTAAAACATCCATAATTAAGAAACGGAAAATTTATTTCTAAATTATAATATGCAAGACATCACAATCTATTATAAATTGAGTCTTTGAATGTGAATGATCCCATGATACAACAATTTTTTTGTCGGGATGACAAAACAAATATTTAAAAGCTTGGTTTTATGCAAAAATAACATTACAAATTCACATACTAACATTTTAAAATTTTTAACTAGAATAATGTCAAATAAAACAATTATTTAAAAAATAATTAACATCTAATAAAAAGAATTCTACAATTTAGTTAAATTAATTCAATTAATAATTGTGCATAAGAGCACGAATTCAAAAAAGATATTATTTATTCATCTTCAACAAAAAGTATAAAATGACCGTTAGACTTATAAAAAATAATTTTATGCTATAATATAAATAATAATATTCTCTTTCAAAAAAAGGAAAAAAAGAGAATGAAATTCTTCAATAAGAATAAGAGTTTTCCCTAATGCTAATAAGCATAATATTTATTTCGGTTTTATATAAATAGGAAATATATAATATGATAATATTCTTTAAGATATTTTAATATTAATACATAGAATCAATTATTAACAAAATTTACAAATTTAGTATCTTCCAATCCTTTTCAAAGTATAGACAAATAATAAATTTGATAAAACAAATAATATTAAAGAATTAAATAAAATATATTAGTTACAAAAAAAATAAATATTTAATACCACCACAAAAAAAAACTATGTAATAGAAAAAATAAGAAAAAAATTTAGGCTTAATGCATTATTTGGTCCCTTAACTTAATTTCAAGTTTCGATTTAGTTTTTTATTGAATAAATGTTCGTTTTAACTTTTTTGAGTGTATTTCTGTTAGTCACTATGTTATTATCGGTTAATTTTTGTGAACTTTTGTTAGTCAGTACATGTGTGGCACTCCAGGTGGCGTTTATTAGATGACATAAAATTATTATATTACATTTTGATTTAAATTTATAACATTAATTAAAACAAATGCAAGCTGAAACGTTTCATATCTTTATTTTCACTTCACCCATTTCAATTTCACTACGTGTCATCCAAAACTCCAGAAACACATTTGAGCGCTGAAAAAGACCTGAAACATATTTCATTTGCACTTCGTTGGTTCATTCACTTCTCCTTTTTCATTATCGTAGAAGACGAAATTTCATCCATTATCAATCATAAATCATCAATCATAAGTACTTCTCATTCAGGTTACTTCATCCATCATCCATCAACAAACTTTTTAGGCTTCTAACTATATTGCTACTGCTACTTCTCATTCAGGTAGCTTGCTTAGGTCATCGAAATTTGTTTATCCAGAATACTAAGCGGAAGAAGAACTTCATTCACCTACAATCATAAGGCACAATTTGTTACTAAAAACAATTCTTTTATAGGTTTTGTGCTAAAAACAATTCTTTTATAGGTTTTGTTGTCTTCTTTAGTGCTATTTCTTATTTAGGTTGTTTGTTTAGGTCATGGATAGTCCCTTGCATTGTGCATCACAGAGGTGAGTTTGTTGAGTTCACACAATAAAGTTACGAAGGATTAGAGAAAACTTGGGATATTGAACCAGATTTAGAATTAGATTGAATTTTGAATGGGTTAAAGGATTTAGGTTATCCTAAATCACTTACTGAAAAGTAATTTGTTGGGTTTGTTCTCTTTCCTTTAGGCTTCGGCCCTCCTTTCAATAAAATAAAATAAAATAATTATAAAATAGTTTTGTGAAGTGGGTTCTTAAAACACATGTTAAGTAAAATTTTTTTATTAGCAACAATAATTTTTTAATTTTAAAAGTATTAAATATTCAATTTTCAATATAGACTTCTTAATAACACATGTATTTAGATAATCATATTTAGAGTCATTTTTAAAGAGATGTATAATAATTTACAATAAAAATTTCAAATTCATTAGAGTTAAACCCTAAATACTTATAATAAATTTGTTACAACTAAGTCATTTATAAATAGAATTCCTAATTATTTTATTAATTGAACTATAATTAACATATTCTCCTCTTAAAACTTAAGAAAATCCGACACACATGTACCACTTTCCAAAAAAAAAAAATTTCAAGATGAAGAGATCTAATAATCCTCCAATATAAATTAAATTTTGCAAGACAATTTAATTATTTGTAGCAAACTAATAAACTTTAATTCGAAAGAATTGTACAATTTAGTTTTCGTTAATGTTTCTAATAATAGTATGATAAAGTTTGAAAATATACGACTTTTTTTTCCATGACATTATACGACTTTTGTTTGATACTTATCCTCAAACTTTTCTGGATATGTAACACACGATTTATTTAAAAATTAATGATAAAAAACTTTTCTGGATACTTATCAATAAAAAATTTATATGCGTCCAATCACATTTTTATTTTTAAAAAAGCGATATAATGATAAAATTTCATGGATTAAACTGTTTTATTACACGAATATTTAATCCCCATAAAAATATGTAATGAATATTCATGACAAGTGTGTTAAGCACATGATATGACATAAGGATCTTTCAATATATATACGAAATTCCAAAAACTCTTCCACACAACGTTTTCCAATTCCACTCAATACAAAAGTCATTTTTGACTCAACTACCTTCGTTCTTCACGCTCTCGATCCATCTCAATCTCATCATGGGTAAATTATCCTATCACCTTTTCTCATCTTAACACCAGATTCAATTTTTCTATTCATTTGTTTACTTGTTTTCAGCTACTCAAAATCCATTCAACAAGATATTGAAGACGTTGCAGAAGCCCGGTGATGGCGGTGAATTCGGAAAATACTACAGTTTGCCAGCTCTCAACGATTCCAGAATCGGTTCGTCGTTTTCTTATTTTGATATTGATAATGTGAAAATGAATCTCGATTTTGAATTTTCTGTTTTGCTTTCAGATGCGCTTCCTTACTCGATTAGGATACTTTTGGAATCTGCGATTCGTAACTGTGATGAGTTTCAAGTTAAGGCCGATGATGTTGAGAAAATTATTGATTGGCAGAATACATCTCCCAAACAGGTGGAGATTCCGTTTAAGCCTGCTAGAGTGCTTTTGCAGGTGAGTAGTGTGGATACTGTGGCTTTCTTTGAATGCTAGTTGTGTTTGTTTGTATTGTATTGTATTTATTGTGGTTTTGATTTCGTTATCAGGATTTTACTGGTGTGCCTGCTGTTGTTGATCTTGCCTGTATGAGGGATGCAATGAACAGGCTTGGTGGTGATTCGAATAAAATTAATCCGTTGGTAAGCTCATATTAGTGGATTTGAGAATTGTATTATGTTTTCTTTTTAATTTTGATTTTTTATTTATTGTACGTGTGTAGTAAAGTTTGAATTGGTTATGTTCAGGTACCGGTCGATCTTGTCATTGATCACTCTGTTCAGGTGGATGTAGCGCGATCAGAAAATGCTGTTCAGGCAAATATGGAACTTGAATTTCAGAGGAATAAGGAGAGATTTGGTTTCCTTAAATGGGGTTCAAATGCTTTCAATAACATGCTCGTTGTTCCTCCTGGATCAGGAATAGTCCATCAGGTTATTGAATCATTCAGTGAAGTGTGTGTGCGTGCATGTTTGTTTATATGGATGTGTAATATGTGATCTGATTCCATAGTTCTTACGTGTGAAGAAATCTTTAGCCAGTAATTCAAGTTCGTCTTCTGAATCAAGTTTTGCAAATTCAACTCTTGCAGGTTAATTTAGAATACCTTGGTAGAGTTGTGTTCAACACAAATGGTGTGCTTTATCCTGACAGTGTTGTCGGAACTGATTCACACACAACTATGATAGATGGCTTGGGTGTTGCTGGGTGGGGAGTTGGTGGAATTGAAGCTGAAGCTGCAATGCTCGGGCAGGTAAACATAATGTGTTACTGAGTTGTTTTCCGAATTAGAGAATTGAATTTATTCGTTGAATTAGTATGTCTGGAAGTTTTCAACTTTATTTTCTGCTAATTAGTTTACTATTAGAAATGCAATTGTTATTCATAATAATAAATTTATACTTTTGCAGTTTTGGCCTATTATTAGAAAGGGGTGTCGTCTCTTTTGTTCACAAAAATATTGTTACTAGAAATAATTGTTTTCCTTTGCAGCCCATGAGCATGGTCCTACCAGGTGTGGTTGGGTTCAAATTATTAGGCAAACTACGAAGTGGTGTCACAGCTACCGACTTGGTGTTGACTGTTACTCAAATGCTAAGAAAGCATGGGGTTGTTGGCAAGTTTGTAGAGTTTTATGGTAAATACTAATTTATGCGTAATGACATATTTCTTCCTTTGTAGCATCACGTTCCTAGCTGATTAATCTTTCCTCAGATGATAAGTGTGTTTAACTTCCTTTATACAGGGCAAGGCATGAGTGAACTGCCTTTGGCAGATCGTGCCACCATTGCAAACATGTCTCCTGAGTATGGCGCAACAATGGGATTCTTTCCTGTCGATCATGTCACTTTGCAATATTTGAAACTGACTGGCAGGAGCGATGAAACTGTATGTCAGCACTTGTTTCATGATATTTAATGTTGCCTGCATGTTCTTACACATCTTTCTTGCAGGTTTCTATGATAGAATCCTATTTACGAGCTAATAAGATGTTTGTGGACTATAGTGAGGTACTATGCATGTATTGCTTTTGGATGGTTATATCTGAAATGATTGAAAGAACCTGGTCTCACTGAGAGTTTGCTTTGTTGCATTGCAGCCCCAAGTGGAGAGAGTGTACTCATCCTATTTGGAGCTCAATCTTGAGGATGTTGAACCATGTGTCTCAGGTCCAAAAAGGTAACGGGTCTTCATGTTTTCCACTTAAAAATAAGAATGAAGAAAAATTGTACAGTGCCTTTTATTTTGCATTACTACGCATATATTCCCTTATTAAAATATTTTTTACATAAGATTCTCACGGTTTAAAAGTTTACAAAACCACCAGTAACTCTGAAATATTATTTAAGTTTTCCAAATTTGTTAAAACTGTCTGTTCCTACCCTTGACCCTTGCTGGCTTGTTCAATCACATATTTTGAGAAAAATGAAGAACACATTCATTCAGCTTAGCTGCTATGAAATTTAAATTTAACTACAAAAATTCTATAAGCTATTTGTTCAATTAACAAAATATGTTACATTTGACGATGTTGTGGAGTTAGGTTAGGGTTTTATATGGAAGGTCTTTGTGGTAAGTACAAATTAGAAGGGAATCGGTATTTGCTCCGAAAGTTTAGTTACACACAGTTTTTTATCGTCTACAGGGCCAGCCCAACCTCTTTAGAGGCCTAAAGCCACTTTTAAATTGATGCCTCTTTAATTTGTCAAAAAAAAAAGCTAGGCCTTTAAAATATATTAAAAATTTTAATTTTGTGGCTGTCAAGAGTTGAACCGAAGACCAAAAAAATATGAGGCATTCCTTTTACTCACTCCACTACGAGGATATATGTAATTTATATGTCATTTTATATATTCGTAACTAAATTTAACTTTTTTTAGGCCTTTTTTTGCCCAAAATTTTGAGGCCTAAAGCCCTTGCTTGGGTCACCTTACCATTGGGCTGGCACTCGTGTAACCCTTGTTTTAAAATATTTTCAGGCCTCATGATCGTGTTACTTTGAAAGAAATGAAGGCAGATTGGCATGCCTGCCTCAACAATAAAGTTGGGTTTAAGGTATGAGCTTCTGGAATGGTACATATTATTTTTATGTCTAAATATAAAATGGTATAGCTTATTCCATGCACCCATGATGCCTAAACTTGTATGTCCTCACATTCAGTTTTCAAAATACAGTTTTTCAATGGCCATTGTGTGATTTTCAGTAAATCTCTCTGACATGCACCTAGACATACAAATGTCTGAATGTTTTTTAATTGTATGCGCGCTCATAAACAAATATATTTTGACATACTTACACTTTTTAATAACATATACATAATGAAATTTATCAATACAATCATTAATATGAAAGGCCACACGAGTATATCAAGTTTACTAAATTTCAAAGCTAGTAATATAATATGCTATTTAAAATATAAGTAAATACTCACCATTAAATTACATACCTATGAACATCCAAATTATCTAAAATTTGATATACAAGATCATAAGCATAATACCACATGATTCAAAGTTTGGATTGATTAGTTCTGTATTGTAAAAATATTTATCGGGGTTAAGTATGCATGGGCTTATACACAGTGTCTGCAATTCTGGAGTGTCTGATATAGTCAAAATTATATGTATGCTATTTCATTTTTATTTGTTACTATGAATGTTATGCCCGATAGCTTATTTCCCATGGCAAGCAACTTTGATTTTTTATACCATTTTTTACACCCTCTCCTTTCTTGTGACATCACTCATCACATATATTACCACCTCTTTCTCTTTGCCCCTTAGAGGTTTTTATACTACCAATGATGTGAAGTGATTAAAACGGATTTTATGGCTGGTAAGGGCATAGCAGTCTAATTTTATCCATAATTATGTTCTTTTATACTACCAATCTTGAGTGAATGTGCCATGTTTGAAACTTCTTTCTTTAAGGCATTAAAATCCCCTAATCCCCTAATCTTTCAGAAAGTATAGTAGTATATGTGGATTTCTGTTATTTGAGCTGTATAGTATTGCATTGTTTCAGGGTTTTGCTGTACAAAAGGAAGCTCAGACAAAGGCTGCAGAGTTCAAATTCCGGGAAACACCAGCAAAACTTAAGCATGGGGATGTTGTTATAGCTGCTATCACCAGCTGTACAAATACCTCAAATCCCAGTGTAATGCTTGGAGCTGCATTGGTTGCAAAAAAAGCATGTGATTTGGGATTGGAGGTTAGTAGATGTCTCTGCATTTGGTTCCTGTGTTAATGATTTGATTCGATAGTCATATGCCTATGCATACATTATGCTTAAATCCAACGCGCACATACTCCGGTGCCATAAGTTGCAACATGATATGGACACATGATAAGAATTTTACTTTTAGTGTCTGATTGCATTTATGTTTTTTTAACCCTGATGAGTGCAATGACTCAATGAGATTACCTCCTTTATTTTCTAGCTAGTATTAGTGTATGTAGCATTGTGTTTTTGTTGTTTTTCCTTTTCGTTTGTCACATAAGTGGTTGTTTGAGGCTGCTTTTTGCTTTACAGTCTATTAGTTAAATATGTATTTGAGAGGATATATATAATGTGCTTACTTTGCCCATTTCCTCCTGATAGTTTTGTTATTTTCTACTAACTGATTGCTATTTGTTCACTATTTCATATCAACTATTAGGTTAAGCCATGGATCAAAACAAGTCTTGCTCCAGGTTCTGGTGTGGTTACCAAGTATTTGCAGAGGAGGTACACTTAAAATATCATCAAGTATATACACATAATATGGTGGCATTCACACTTATATGGCTGAAATATCTTGATTCCTGAATCGTATATTTCTTCTCCAGTGGCTTGCAGGAGTATTTGAATCAGCTAGGGTTTAACATAGTTGGGTATGGATGCACCACATGCATTGGAAATTCAGGGGATATTGATGAAGCTGTTGCATCTGCAATAACAGAAAATGGTACAGATCTTCTTCAAAAAATGGTATTTTAGAAGTAGCCACTTATGAATCCAAGGTTATCTAAACATCGGTTTTCTGAAATTTCCAGATATAGTAGCTGCAGCTGTATTGTCTGGAAATAGGAACTTTGAGGGCCGAGTTCATCCATTAACAAGGGCTAATTATCTAGCTTCTCCGCCTCTCGTTGTTGCCTATGCTCTTGCTGGCACAGTATGTAAATTTAAATTGTTTTCCAGTATGTATTTCAAAACTGCTTCTTGCTGTCTAATTTGGACATTATTATGCAGGTTGACATTGACTTTGATACCGAGCCAATTGGGATAGCAAAGGATGGAAAACAGATCTTCTTCAGGGATATCTGGCCATCCAGTGAAGAAATAGCAGATGTAAGTAGCTGAATGTGTTTAAGTATGACTTCACCATATAAATAAATAAAAATATTATTTAATGTATACCATTTGCTCATACTTGTCCAATGTCCAGGTTGTGCAATCAAGTGTGCTGCCTGATATGTTTAGGGAAACATACAATGCTATTACCAAAGGCAACCCCATGTGGAATAGTTTATCTGTTCCATCTGGCAATCTTTATGCCTGGGACTCTACATCAACTTATATTCACGAGCCACCTTATTTTAAAGACATGAGCATGTCTCCCCCAGGCCCTCATGGAGTGAAGGATGCTTATTGTTTGCTCAACTTTGGAGACAGTATTACGACTGACCACATCTCTCCAGCCGGCAGCATACATAAGGATAGTCCTGCAGCCAGATACCTTGCAGAACGTGGGGTTGATAGACGAGACTTCAACTCCTATGGAAGTCGCCGTGGTAATGATGAGGTGATGGCAAGAGGAACTTTTGCCAATATTCGCATTGTCAACAAATTCCTGAATGGAGAAGTTGGACCTAAAACTATACATATTCCTTCTGGGGAAAAGTTATCAGTCTTTGATGCTGCAACGGTAACTTTTCTGAACTATGCATCATGTAGGCATACTAGTCATTGGTATATTTCTGAACTATGCTGCAATATGTTGGCATACTAGTAATGGGTATTTTTCTGAACTATGCTGGAACATTACGCGAGTCTTAATTCCGGTCAAGAAATGGTTTTCTCCCCATATTTTAAATTTATTTGATTGTCATATATAATTTCAAGGAAGAATGCAAAATGGTCCATGTGTAAACCAAACTTAGAATTTCAACTCTACAACTCTACAGATATCGTGTTGGATTAGTTCTATGTACATACTTATTAACTAAATACCCCACATGGTTTTCTGTCCTTTTTTGCCGTGACTCTTGAAATTTAATGTGAAAAATATATTGTTTGAATTTGTTATTGACACTACTTAATTGTCAGAAATACAAGAGTGAGGGACATGGTATGATTATTTTGGCCGGTGCTGAGTATGGGAGTGGAAGTTCTCGCGATTGGGCTGCGAAGGGACCAATGCTACTGGTATGTATATGCTTGACGATTTTCTGCTCTGACTAGTTTATGTGCATTCTCTTTATTATATGTAATGCTGTATTGATTCATTCGATTCACAGGGCGTGAAAGCTGTCATAGCAAAAAGCTTTGAAAGGATTCACCGTAGTAATTTGGTGGGAATGGGTATAATTCCTCTATGTTTCAAGACTGGCGAGGATGCCGATACTCTTGGATTGACTGGTCACGAGCGTTACACCATTGATCTTCCAAGCAGTGTGGGTGAAATTCGACCTGGTCAAGATATCACAGTGGTGACAGACAATGGGAAGAAATTTTCATGTACCCTGAGATTTGATACAGAGGTATAACTAGGTCTTAGTTTTTCATCTATTTTTGCGGCGGTGCTGTTTGTTTTATTATTCAACCCTTTATCCTGCTGACATTTGGATGTTCCGGTTACTTATGACAGGTTGAGCTTGCATACTTCAGTCATGGAGGCATCTTACAATACGCCATCAGGAACTTGATCAATGCTAAACATTGACTCCAGAGGCATTGATTTTTCAACAGTCTAAATAATGTGGGATGGGTCAGCTAAGGTCCTTTGAATGTGGGAGCACATCCATGTTATGCAACTATTAATATATTAATAAACCAAGGAAGTCTAGAGGGCTGTGACTGTGTCGTTTCCTAAAGAAATGTAATTCATTTTTGTCATTTCTCCTAGTCTTAGTATTGGTTTTATGATTTGAGTTTTGGGACAAAAGGGTGTGGAAGCTTTCCTGAGCTTTAAATAAAGTTGAGCTTCCTAATGCTGGAAGCTTGAGCTTCTCTCTTCTTTCATATTTAAAACTCCTCTTATTCTTTTTCTTCTATTTAGGGTTTAGATTTCACTCTTCTCTCTGTAGAGAGATTCCACACTCCACGATTTGATGTGTCAGACTTGTTCAAGTATTGTTAAAAGTGTAGTTGGTGAAAAACAGCTTGGCATGAGTGCCGCTTATTTGGTGTCTGTGTATCAGCCGTCTTTTTTTGAATTACTGTCACAAATTTATGGTCCCTGTTGATTTTTTTAAGAGTTTAATTGTAGTAGACTGTTATTGTAAAAATTATTACACATATATCCAATCAAAATATTTTAAAGTATCAAATTATATAAATAATTTAAAATTTAAAAATTGATTTGGGAGAATACATGATTGTTATTGGTTGACAAAGTAAAAATAATGTATATCCACTTTCTCTTTTTTTATATAACTTGTTTTTGGCGTTTTCACAAGTATTAAGTATTGAGAAATCATTCTTGTATGAAAAAGTGACCATATGATTTTGACAAATTAATTTTTATTAATTATATAGAAAAAAATGAAAGAGTTGAAATGAAAGAATTATAAATATTTAAAAATATAATAAAAATAATAAAATTGATTTATAATTTGATATACAGTTTTGAAACTATAGTTTGATATTCACTAGACAATTTCTATAAATTTAAAAGTGGAGACCTGAATTGCATTTGAAAATTTGTGGCTAATTATCCATGAAAATTACTTATATAGTAAATTTGCAAGTGCTATTCACAATTTGATTTTTATTCTAAGTTGCAAAATTTGATTTTTATTCGACTTGCAAATTTACTAATTGACTAGTTTTATTGAATGGGAATAAATTACTAACAGTTATTTTAAAGTAATTTGAAAAATATATTAAAAAATATAGTTAATTTTATATGAGAATTTTAAATAATAAAGTATTTTAAATTATTTTTTAAAAGAATTTTAAATTATTTGGTCAATTTTTTGTGACTAAATAAAAATATAAAAGAACTTAAAATCAAAATTTAGTCCTTAATATGTTTGCTGAGTTAACCAATCTCATTATGCATGCGGTCACTAGTATGGACTTGAATGTGAATTGGAATAACGCTTGTGGAGAGTTCTTTTGCTCTTAACGTGGAATTCGTCAAGGGGATCCAATCTCGCCCTATCTTTTTATGCTTTGTATGGAGAAGCTTTCTTATATTATTGAGCATGAGGTTGTTAAAAAGAGTTGGAGAGTCATCAAAATGGAATCTCGTAGACCCCAAATCTCGTATCTAATGTTTGTTGACAACTTATTTTTGTTTGGGGAAGCTACAAAAGTTTGAATGATCTCTTCAGTAACTTAACTGGTCAGGAGGTTAGTGAGAAAAAATCTAGCATTGTGTTTTATAGAAAGTTGAAATGACCAAATCTTTTGTGCCACAACTCACTTTCCTTCACAACACTTGTTGCACTAAGGCATTCAGAGTTTGCAGTTTTAGCATTCACCTTGAATGTTTTATTCTTCCTTTGTTCTGACTTCATAATCAGTTTCTGATTACAATCATACAGCTTCAAAAGATTGTCCTTCATGGTAACTAAAAAATCTTTCTCAATTAATTGGCCTACACCCATCAGATTGTTTTCCATGCCATGTACATACCACACATTTTGAATCAATATTGCTTTACCATTATTGAGAACTACTCTGGCATTTCTCATATCTTCAGTGTTGAGGTATTTATCATTAGCACATCTGATCTTTGTCCTCTTTCTAGAGTCAAAGTCAACCAGCCATTTCTTATTTTCAGTAAGATGATTTGAGCAGTCAATGTCCATATACCATTAGTCGGTCAAATACGCGTCATCAGATTCATAAGCCATTAATAACACGAATTCATCGTCAGAATCTCTTTTTATTACATTTGCTTCTTCTGATTTTCTTTCTTTCTTTGACCAGCAGTCAATAGCGAAGTAACCAAACTTCTTACAAAAGTATCACTAAACATTTCTCTTAACATACTTCTCATTCTCCTTATGAGCACTCTTCTACCTTCCAGAAGATGAGTTTGGCTTCTGAGAACTACCATGTCTTTTCTTGGCCTCTGACCAGTTCTAGTTCTGGTCTTTCTTAACAAAAGAAGCTTTCAAAGCCTGCTCTACCTCTCTTTCAGAGTTTCTCTCAGTCAGACGCAATCCTTGTGCCTCTAAACTGCCATGTAGCTCTTCTATTCTCATGGTGCTCATATCCTTAGAATGTTCAATTGCTACGACAATGTAATCAAACTGAAGAGTAAAAGATCTAAGTACCTTCTCAATGATCTTTTCTTCACTGAGAGTTTCTCCACACGAGTTCATCTCATTTGTGATCAAAATCACTCTAAAGATGTAGTCAGGTAGGTACCTTTTCATTGTTCTTCATGCTAAGATTCTCATATTGCTTACGTAGAGAATGAAGTTTCGCCTTCTTCACTAATGCATCACTGTCGTAGTACTATACGAGTGTGTCCCACGCAGCCTTCATAGTCATCAAATTAGTGATTTTCTCAAACATGTTTGCATCCACACACTGATGGATGTAGAACTACGCATTTTGATCCTTCTTCCTCAGATCACGCTGAACTTCCTCTACGCATCCGTTGAACTTTTTAGAAGTGTAATCGAAACGTAACAGTCGTTGACGAGATCAAGCACATCTTAAGCGTCAAACAACACACGCATATCCAACGATTCCAATTCTTGTCATCAAACACTAGAAGCTTGTTACTCAGATTACTATTTACGTTAATCTTTAACCTTGTACAATCACTCAAATCTCAGCAAAACACTAGTGTTTCCCAATCCTGCAGAATCAAAAAATATGATTCTGTTGCGATTCAAATCAAACCTAAAATCAATCACACAACATCTCACTTTTCACTCGTGTGGAACTGAAACAAAACTCTAGATACCAATTATTAGTGCAGAGAGAGAGAGAAAGAAAAACAATGAGAAGCAATTACACACATACATCACATGATATTCGCATATAATTTTTAAAAATACATTAATTGAATGTAATCAGATATGTCGTCGTTGGTGTCAAACATAGAACATATTTCCAATCAAAAGTACCGGCACTACATAACTCATTACCAAAAGTGGCCTTCATAGATTGAAAACATGCAAAAATGTAGAGAAGGCCCCTGATAATGGGCGACAACAAAAGCAAACATATGACAAGGATGTTTACACAGGATAAAGCTCGGAGGAAAAAGCTGGTATACTTGTTACATCTATTGGTTTCATACATTTTCTTGAATCTCTTATGCGAAGTTCACAACTTCACAAGTACTTACTTTTTTTATTGTATTTGCTACATATAAATGAAAAAGGTAGGGAAAAAATGAGTTACCTAAGCTACATAACATAACAAATTACAGAACGCACATCACACAGTAACCATTTCCTTCGAGACCTGAAGCTCCATTGTATGAAGTATTAGCTCAGACTTCAAAATTGCACATGGTTGAAATGATGAACTCAAACAAGCCTGAAAAATAAGTCAATCAACGTCAGAGGTGTTCAGAAGTTGAGAATCATGTTGTGCAAGAAAAACTATTCAGCTGTAAATACGGCTCTGCAGACAATGTTGAATATATAAACTAACCTGTCGCAGAAGATCCCTAGTATCTCCACAAAAACAAATTTTGGGAAATTGTTTAACATATAGGCCCTTAGGTATAAATATTTACTATAATTATAAAATTAGTGTGGCCATATTATTTTTGTATACGGGTAAGTTGCTTTGATTGGGAAGCATGTGAAAACAACTTATAAACGCTGTCATAAGCTCTCTAACAATTAACAAGTGTTTGTGTTCGGAAAAAAAACTCATAAACTATAAATAAGCTCTTGCAAAAACATACCCTAAATCAGTAGTTTTAAGTACATTAGAACCGAAAATAGACACAACATGTGCAAGACAAATCAACACTTACAATTACATTTTATATCAAACTGTATGTTATGCAATCAATCTTTTAGCTAAATATCAGTTAAAGCAAGTGTAAAATATTGCTAAATAAACATAATTGTCTTGCCTTAACTGTAAAATAATATTTGACACAATAATACAACAAAGGTGAGGTAAGTAAGTACCAATAATGTATACTTAAGTTTTGTATTCACTGACGCGGATCCATTTGGTACTTGACCACTTATTCCCTTTGATCACTGGACAACCACCTGAAAATTATCAAGAAACAGTTTTGCTAATTAAACTCCTATATTGTGAAAGTCCATTGACGCAGTAGACAGCACAACAAACAATAAAAAAGCGAAACTAACCATGCAAGCTTGACGCATCTAAAGATGCATCCGGCTTCATGCTCCAAAAAAGCAAAGCATCGCCTCTCTTTGGCTTAATTGAAAGTCCTTTTTTCCCACAATCAGAAAGCTCATTATACCATGGCACAGAACTAAAATTGCCCTTGGCAGCAGGGAACACTGTCTCGCCCCCTTCTTCAACATCTGTGCTGTATTGTTAAATTAAAAAACAAAAGAAACATAGCATAAACAGCTGAACATATCCAAGATAAATTGAAGTTAATAACAATTAAGACAGCACATGATATCACTTACAGGTACATCAGTACCGTTGCTATGCGCTGACCACCATTTTTTGTGTTAAACTCATCAAGAAAGTAGTCATAGTGAGGCTCATACTTTTGTCCAACTTCATAATGTAGAACTTGAAGTCCTTCACCGTGCTCTGTATATTGCGAGGAATAGCATATTAATGCACGTTGAAGCATATGATAGAAAAAATAATCTAAATGTATCAATAAAAACTAAATTTCATAAATAAATAAAAAAATTATTATAAGTCGTGGGACTACTTACCTACAGGAATAAAAGTGAAGTCGGCAATTCGTTTCTCAATATCTCTGACAATCTTATCGCGTCCCCTGGCCAGAAAAGTTCCAGAGCTTGTACGCACTCTACATGCAAAAAAAGAGGTTAATATGTCGCTTGCTAGTATCAAGGCATCCTAAATAATGCAGAAGAAATAATTTTCCCTTTCAAAAGACAGTTAACAAAGCAAGATAGGAAATACTCCAACCTGCTGTCCTTGCTCTTTCCAGTCTCACTATCGACAACAGTTGACTTATGCATACTTGGCTTTGCTATGTCAATCAGATATTCACATTCCTCCTTGGTCTACTCGAATTATTCAGTTAAACTTTAGTAATTGGAAGGTTGATACAATACAATGCATCACATTAAATAGTAATGCTCCAGAAGAGCTTCAAGCTTAATCAAAAGTTAAGCACAATGTCATCTCACGCTAAAGTCATATTCAAACGGAGAAATACACCACTTGAACTTTCTATCAAGCATCATTTAACAAAGCAAAACACAAAGTTTTGGTACTATTATTACTTACCTTCGGAATAGGAAACAGTAAAAGATAGGAAAACTCATCCCCAAGAATCTCAAGAAATTAAAAGACCGTTAATTATTGTGTAATATTAGATTTTGATTTAGAACCTAACTCTACCCCTACAAAATTAACTATTAAGGTGATGATTACGCACTTATAAACTGAATTTTGGCCATATATTTAGATTGTGTAGGACGTGAGCCCTCCTTAGATATTTAACCATGGCACTAGACTTTATAAACCCCCTACTTGTCTTTCACTTCACGCACAACCTTGTTGCCTCTTATAGTCCTAGGCTTCTAGTTGTACTGAACCATTAACATATAGAATTCAATGATATTACCAAATATCATCTTCTTTCCCAAACCTTAAACAAGTCAAAAGAAAGAAAAAAATTGGACATGCACTTTCAATGTAAACTCTGACATACAATAAGAATAAAGTATTTGCAGTTATTTAAAAATTTGGAGCATGTACGGATTACTTAAAAAGTTGGGGCAGGTAGGGGTTGACTTATTTTAGTTTATTTCCGTCATATGCACTTGTGAAACTATTTGACATAAATTCTGGAAACAACTTATGATATGTTAGGCTATGTTTGGATATCATAAATGAACAGAGCGGAGCGGAATGAAGATTCCATTCTATCGTTTGGAAATTTTAAGACGAAACTAGGAAAGTTCTTCATTGTGCCCAAATTGAAGAGGAAGAAATATAGTGGTAAGTAATGGAATGAAATCCATACCTCTCCATCCAATTTTAAATAATCCAAACAATGCAATACCACTCCACTCCATTTCATACCATTTTGCACCATCCGATTCCCTCAATCCAAACAAGGCATAAGTTGTTTTCAGCTTACTTTCCTAAGCTCTTAAGAAAATAGCATTTAGTTTCAACGACGACAACAACAACCGAGCCTTATCCCACTAAGTGGGGCCGGCTACATGGATCAACATTTGTCATAATGTTCAATGCAGAATCATGTTTTTATCCAAATTGTTAATCTCGAGATCTTTTGTAATAACTTCTCTTATATTTTTCCTAGGTCTTCTTCTACCTCTAGCTATTAATTTCAACGAAATCAATTTAATTATATTCTAAAAAAAAAGTACACATAAGTCCTTATCACAATAAATGTTGATTGTATAAGCTGCAAATTATGGTATTTATCCATCTAGGACCCATGGCAACATCATGAGTTCTCATTAATGTAGGTGTGGAACTATTGAGAGTGCATCTCCATTGAAATAAATAAAAAAAAACATTCCAAATTAGGATAATTCAACATTTCTAATACCTTGATTAATTACAAAAACAATAAGCATAATTTATAAATCACCGAAACGAGAAGAAGAAAAAGTCAACGAGAAAAACGAATCTGGCAGTTAATAATAAAAAGACGATGAAAAATCTAACCAGAAAATTGTGATAAACAAAAGCTCTAGGCTCCCATGACACAACTTCAACCCACTGCTCTCCCTTACCATCATCATCATCAACACTGTCCAAACAAAAAAAAACCATCAGCAAGAAGAAAAAAAATCGAATCGAACGGCGATTATTAAAAACGGTACCTATCGACGGTGTTATGAGCAATGGAGGTGAGATCGTTGGGTTTAGGCAAGTTTTGATTGGAAGAAGGAATGGAAAGGATACCGAAAACGAGAAGAATGAGGATAAGAAAAGTGAAAGCGATGAAGAGAGCGAAAATGATAGTGTAAGAAGAAGACGATTTTCTAGATGGAAGACGAGAGTATCTAGATTTGGCCATTGTTGAGTTTTCAGATCTACGAGATCTGAAATTCAACGAATGTAAAAACAAGTTGGAATTGAAGATAAGAGAAAAGAAGAGATAATACTGTTACGACTTGTTAGACGGTGAGAGTGGAAGGATGGAAAGAAGAAAGAAAGAAGGAACAAGGAAATGATTTTTTAATTCTCTATTACCGTTCGTATTCATTACTGTGCAACTGGGTTCAAAAAGTCAAGATTTCTAATAGTGGTACTTAATTAATTTATTAATTAACCATAGCCAATTAGGTACGTCTACACCATTAAATTACTACATTTCAATTAAATATGTAAAACGAAATCATAAAAATGGTAGTTTTTAGTTTTTATAGTCGCTATTTTATTACTACGAGAAATAAAAAAGTTGTATTTGGTATTCATCAACTATCAACTATCATTTCATTAAAAATTAATTATATATACGTTTCAAATTACCTTTTTAGTATAAATTATTTAGATTAAAAAAAACCATTTAAATAATTAACTAATGTTAATCTTTTACATTATCATCTCTTACTAGAGTATGATATGTGACATTCATTTTCAAACATTCTCTAATTAAATCACAATTAAATATTATATTTAATTACTTTTTCTCTTGATTTAAATTTCAAATATTTTTCACATTTCTTTTTTCCACAATTTTTTATTTTTATTTTAATTTTTTTTCTCACTATCTATTTGGTATCGTGATAAATATTAAAAATCTATTTTTTAATTTTACTACATTAAAAAATTATTTTATCTCACGAGTTATTATCAACACAATATCTATTTTATTTTAATTGATCATTGTCTAAGAGATAAAATCTTTATTTCTAAATTATTTTTTCTTTAACCATCTTATAATTTTTTTCTTCTTTTTGTATGATTATTTAATACAATTAAATTTATATGTTTATTGTTTATTTTACAATTAAGTAAATTATTTTGAACTTTACATGTGTATCTAAATACATTTCATATGGTATCAAATAATTTTTTAATCTCACAAGTCATTATCATCACAATGTTTATTTTACTTTAATCAACAATTTGTCAAGATTTAAAAGACAAAATCATTATTTCAAAATATTAAATTATCGTATTTTTTCTTTCTTTCTTCTTCTCATGAGTTATTCTTTTTTCTTTTTGTATGATTATTGAACAGAATTGAGTTTATATAATTATTATTTAAGTAACTAATTTCACATTTACAATATAAGTATTATTTAAGTAACTAATTTCACATTTACAATATAAGTATATTTTATATTGTATCAAATAAACTTTCTATTTTATATATCAGTATTAAAACAATACGTATTTTATTTTAATCAACAGTTATCTTAATTTAAAAGATGAAATCTTTATTTTTAAATATTAAATATTCATTTTTCTTTTACCTCGTGTATCTTTTTTTCTTTTTGTATTTAATATAATTGAGTTTATATAATCATTATTTATTTTAAAATTATTGTATCAAATAAATTTACCCGTGCGGCCGCGAGTATTTGACTAGTTTATTCGAGAAAATTTGAACCAAATCAGAATTCAAAGAAAACCATGGTATTTGAGAAGATCGATGGATTATCACATCAGACTTTAGGAGCAACCACACAAGTGAAAGACATCATATATTAACTCAAAACTTTAAGATATTAGATCTATGAGTCTTCTCACTTGTAAAATTTATATCACCATTATCGTGAAACTATTATAAGATGTTCAAATTTAAGAAGAAAAAGTGAAACATAATTGTGAAATTCACAACTTATAAGGGGAAACGAAACACCGTGCTTGGAAATTGCTAATCGTTTGCCATCTTTCCTCATTATTAGAACATCATCAATACCTTTGGCAGGTAGGTATTGTCATTTACAAATTTCACATTGTTCTTCATTAAGGGAACGAAGTTGACAAACCAATATCTCATTCCAGTCATGTGTGATAAGTAGCCTGAGCTTAAGCATCATTAGTCCATGAATCTTTCTTCTACTTTTATTGTAACCATAAGCAACACTTCTTTTTCATCATGTTTTGCAAGTCTTGAATCACCTTCTTGATTATTTCTTTTGTTTGATAGACAATCACCAGCATAGCGACCATGTTTCTGACAATTGAAAAACTGAATATGACTCTTACCAGGTTTCCTTCCACCACCTTTTTCTTTACCTGTAGCACCACCCATGTGATTGCTTTGGTTTGTGGATTGTTTATGGTTTGATGAATTTCCTTCTTGTTGGTGACTTATGCCAACTGAATTATTGTAGCCTTCTCTACCTTTTGTTGTCGTTCCAAAGTTCTTTGGCTTTCTTTTCTTTTGTTGATTGTGTCTGCAGAGCTATATCACCTTTTGTCATGCTTACAGATCTTTCAGGAATTATTTGTTCATGAGATTCAAGCGTCCCTTGAAGCTTTTCTTTTGTCATGCTTAACAGGTCATTCGACTCTTCAATGACTACTACCACGTGATTGAATTTCAGAAGTAATGACCTCAATATTTTTGAAACTATCGATTTTGATGTCAACACTTATCCACGCATCTTGATTTTATTCACCGGTCTTGTTACCCTAGTGAAAAACCAGTCACACTTTCACTTTCTTCCATCTGAAGTAACTCATACGTTCTTTTGTGAGTTTGTAACCTCACCTCTTTCACCTTCTCAACACCTCCAAAAAATTTCTCTGGGAAGTTTCATGTTTCATTTGATGAGTTTACATCACCAACTTTCTCAAAGTTGTATGAATCAACACATTGATGGATTATAAATAGGATTTTATAATCTTTTTTATTCAAATATTTATGTGTAGTATTTTGTTCATTTGTTGCATCTTCTCTAATTGGTGTTACTCCATTATTCACAAGATCTCATATGTCTTTATAGCATAAAACAATCTTTATCTACTTACACCAATTTTTATAATTCTTGTCATTCAAGATGAGAAGTCTTTGTTATATGTTTCTCAAAAATTGTAGACCGTGCTCTATATACAAGATGTTGGAACCGATCTTGATAGAACAAGATTCAATTGCTTTCTCGATTTATTCAAGATTATCGTTCCTTACATTTCACTCAAGTGATTCAACCACGCCTTAGTTACAAGACGATTCAGCCGCACAAAGATTTTAGAGATAAAAGGGGAAGAGAAAGAAATTTAAGGTTTTGGAGAAAGGAAGAATAATGTATTGAATTGAATGAAGAATTATACAGTTGCAAATGTAGAGTACCTCCCTTTTTGTAACAAGATTTATTACACATCAAGCAATCTCAAACTGACTAATTAACTTTAAAAAGTTGTTATCCAACTCTGTCGAGTACTGGCTACTTCGACTTCGACTATCTGTATTTGACTCTCAGTAGAATACGTGCATCTCCTTCTCCTATAAGTTGTATTCGATCTTTTGCCAAACACATGCATATTCAATTAGTACTCTATCAAACATATTCGACTTAGACTCAGTCTAATCATATACTTTACAAACATGTTTAACACAAAAAACTACACATTTAATAAATATTAGTGAATCTCTTCCCATACTTACCATAAGCGACACAAAAGAACAAATTGAGAGAGAGGGGGGGGGGGGGGGGGTAGTCTAAAATTGTTGTTAATTACCACTTGCACAAGAAATAGTCTTGTTTTTTCCAAGCTACATACACAGGATTTTCTATTTGGCAGTCACGATCAACAGTGGAGAAGATCAATAAAAAATTTGTTGTGTAATTGCATATTACCATTTTGTATCTTGAAGTACACCTTAAACCTATTGCTCTAATTGACAATAGTTTGATTCCTAAAGCTTGACAGAAATTTTGTTGTTTAAAAGATGATTTATAAACTGTGAGATATTAGATCGAACTTTAGTATGGTCGAAGTCTGTTCGCGAGTAATGCGTGTTGTAGTCAAAGTTTGTTCTAACATGCATTAGTCAATATTGTTAGGTTTGTTAGCTTGTTGAATTGGGTCTTGCTTGTAAGCCCAATTATTTAAGTTAGCTTGTACCCTAAGTTAGTTTGTAACGGGTAATTGTTAAAAAGCCCATTAGGTTAGTGTGTTAGTTTTCTTATAAATAAGGAAAAATAGGAAGATAAAATTCGAATTCAAGAGAGAGAGGTTATTTGTTATTCTTGTATACTTATAATCTTGTTTGATAGATAAAGGAAAGAATAGCAGTTTATAACCAATATTTGTTGTTTCTTCTTGTTTTTCTTGCTTGATTTCTTTGTTAACCCTAACTCTTGCGTGTTTCTTGAATATAAAGAAATAATTTATATTTTGTTTCAAGGCATTCTATTCACAACAAGAATGGTGATGACTTGATCATGATCACTTGTGTCTTATGATAATGGTGAATTTGATGAGCAATGAATACATGCAAGTGGATTCATAAAAGGAATCTATGATACCATCTTAGAGTGAGATAATCATTAAACAAATAGAATGAGAAAGATATTGAAAAATAATTAGTTAATTATTTCAATTTATACTCTAATTATTTATAGTTGGTTACTCATAAATAAATTCATAAAAAAATCCCAACATAATGGTCGGGGAGAATTGGCCCTCCAATTCTTATTACATGAGAATTCAACCCTTATTCCTAGGGTTATAAGCGGGTCAGAAAAAATTAATTAAACTGATAATCCAAACCAAACCAAACCGAAATAAAATCGAGTCTTTATGGTTCAATTCTAAAATAGAACCAAACCAATGAAAACTTATGTGGTTTGGTTCGATTTTCAATTTAGAATCGAACCAATTAATATAATTACGCTCTAAATATTTTATTCCACCCATGATTAAACCTAAAGTTTGTATCTGTTCAACCATTCTCCATCTTTGTTTACACTTCTTTTCTTTCAGCAAACCATAGAAATTATAAACCATAAGTCACAATAATTTGCTTTCAGTGAACTACTGCTCTCGTTGCCCACCATAACTATTGCTCTTTCTACCGTCATTCTGATATGTTATGGTATTCTTCTTCATGTTCAAGTTCTCTTTAGTTAATTTTCATTTGTTTTTTTTTATACCTTTTTTGTTTCTTCTTCTTCAGTAAAATTCTTTATAGTCTTATTACAAAATAGTTTTGATTTGTTTGAGGGCGTTGTCTACCGTGAGAGACCAGTATAGGTCTCTCACCGTGTGAGACCAAGATTCTTTTTTTTCTCTTCATTTTTCAACAATTTAGCGGGGGTTATCTGCGAGGGTTTTAAATTGCTATAGTATGTGGTATTGTTTACCAGTACAGTACGTTGTGGAGGTCAATACCCCCCACCATTTCAAAGCTTTTTTTACTGCATCAATTTAGAACCCCCACAAAATAACTCCCACCAAAAGTTGAAAAAAAAAAAAAGGAATCTTGGTCTCACACGATGAGATACCTATATAGATCTCTCACGATAGACAATGTCGTGTTTGAGGTGTGAAACATGCTAATTGATGTGTGCTTTGTTGTATTCTATTTGTTAAACTTTCAAGTTCCTTTCCAACCTTCTGATGCCAAATGTCAGCTTTTATATTTGATAGTGAAATTATTTCATCATGCAATAGAAATCATATCTCTGTTTCGTATGGATTAAGAACAACTTGTAATTTGTTTGAAAAAATAAAGTATGAAATAAATTACATGAAATGTATTATTTAAAAAATATATATAGCTAAAATACACACACAAAAATATGATAATGGAGAATATACAGATGAATATAATGTTTAAAAAAATATTATAAACCTATCAACTGAACCAAACCAAACCGGTTCGTTTTGTTTTGTTTCATTTTTAAAAAAGTATTAAAAACCTAAATCAAATCAAAACAATGAAAATATCATCGATTCAGACTTTTTTTTTTTTACTAAAAATCGATCCAAATCAATTGGATTACACCCCTGCATATTTCTAATAATGTTACAAATATTTTAATATATTAATGGTTATTTTTAAATTGTAATATTTTAAAAAGTTTTTTAAATTTTTTAAAATCATGTTAGCAAGATGTATTTAGAATAACATATTAAATGTAATTTTTTTTTGAATCAATAAAATTAAAAATTCTATAATTTTCTCAAATAATTTTTCTCTTAATTTCTTTTATCTTTCAACAAAATAGATTTAGCTCTCAAACGTATTTCCAATCAATGCAAACGCCACAAAAATTCATTAACACTTAAGCTAATTCACTTCATTTTATGTTACATTTTTAACCATTGACTAAATTAGAGATTTCCTATTATATACATAAAATATTCAGAGTTCAAATTGCAGTTTGTTTTTGAAAATTTAGCATAAAATTAGCTGGCAGAGGATGCCAAAGTTGACTGTGAGAACAACTGCTCCGCCATATTATTCATTTCTTTCCAAAATATTATTAAACAAATCCTTTTTTTTCAATATATATATATATATATATATATATATATATATATATATATATATATATATATATATATATATATATATATATATATATATATATATATATATATATATATATATATATATATATATATATATATATATATATATATATATATATATATCATCTTTTATATTATAGTATGCTTTTCAACAATACTATTGAAATATTATAATAATAAATATAATTTTTGTTTTTCTTTTCCTTCTATTTTAGATGAAGTGTTACCGATACAAAATTGTGTCGTTAATCAATTTTATTAACAAATATATTATATTTCTTTAACCAATTTTATTTTACTATTACAAATTATATCTGAACGTTTGTTAATCAATTTTATTTATCAACTTTTTACTTTTTATAAATAAGTTTTGTTTTACTATTAAAAATTATTTTTAATATTTTGATGTTTATTAATCAATTTTATCACTTTGTTAAATAATTTTTTATATTTTATTAAACAATTTTATTTTATTATTAAAATCATTGTTCCTGTTCATGGTCATTGCTCACGCATATATACTATTTACGTGTATATATACTATTCACGACCATTGTTCATTTATTATCCACGTCATTGTTCATTGTTTTTTAGAATAATAAATTCAATGATTTAAAAGGAATGATGAAGAAACAATGTTTTTTGAACATATTGTTTGCATATCTCTCTATACTCTACTAAAAAAAAATTATAAATAATTTTGCAATTGATACATAGTTTTAAAAATCGAATTAGACTTATCGGTCGAACTAGATATCAAAGTGGTAATCGGTCTGGTTTAATAGTTGGATCAGATATGTAATTGACCCGATGAAAATCGGTAAAAATCAATATAAACCAATAAAAGTTAGAAAACCGACGGTTTCATTCCTTTTTAAAAAATTAAAATGACGTTGTTTTTTATTATTTAAAAAATAAATAAAAATAAAAATTATTAGAGAAATTTGATATCTTTTTCTTTAAAAATTAATGAAAACAATGTTAAATATAGTAAATAGAGGTTATTGCAGTATTATAGAATTGATAGGTTGCGGAATTTGAACATACTTTATTTTTTATTAGTTGGATTGGAGTGTTGCATAAAGTAAATGATAATTGATCTTACCAATCGATCAGAACCTGAGATGGGTCAAAGATAAGTGTTTGTGATTCTGGGTGTGAAAGAGGAGGAGGGGTGTACCTGCAAGACACTTCGATGCTAAAGTAAAAAAACGAGTAAGAGAGAGAGCAAGTACAGAATATGAGTGTTTCAGGGTGAATATTGGATATCTGACTCTCTCAAATGAGAGAGATTTTATAATGCCCCTAGTGCTTGGAGATAATCGTTTCCGAAAAAATAGGTAACCGTTAGAACTAGTCGTTGGGACGGGCAGACGTGCCCATAACTAATCGTTGGCGCGGGCAGAGGCTTAGTTACGGGAACAAGCGTCTTTGTTGTTTCTGGATGGTGGAACCGTGCGTGACGGGCAGAGGCAGATAGGGAGAAGTGTTGTGACCAAGGGTAAATAGGTCAGCCTCGCCTGTTGGAGGAGCAGAAAGGTAAACTTTCTACCAAAGAGGTTGGACTTAGGTAATTGGGTCGTTCTGGGAGCAGAAGTAGATTGGGTCATGCTTAGCCATTGCGTCAGTCCGGAACAATAACAAATGTTTGGTAGACAACAAACATAAGTTTATATTTGAGATTGATACTTTGATTAAATTTTTAAATCAATTATTTGACTCAAACTTATAATTGACTCAAATTTGAATTTAAATTATAAACTTCTGAAATTATGATATTTTTAAATTTTTTATGTGTTAGTGATTTTTTTAAACATCGAATCATCTAGTTCGACCGATTCAATATTTATATAATTTTATTATAGTGACATATTTATTCAAGCAAATTATCTGATTTTATCTAGTTCAATGACCAATCTAGTTTTTAAAACATTAAATTAATATGGAATAGCACTAACTCTGATAAACTTTAACACCGATATAAACTTAAAAATATAGAACACTGAACTTAAAAATATAAAACATATATGATAGTATATAAATTCCATTGATTCCTCTATTATTAAATGAGTTCAAAATATTTAATTAAAATTATTATCTTTAATTTTTATTGATAGCATTGTTTCGATATATATTTAACCTTTTTAAATATGTGAGATTTATCTTTAAAATTATAAGATAGGTTAAAGTAAAAAAAATATTAAAAAAAAAAAAAAAATCTTTTAAACACTTCTCTAAATTGTTTGACCTGCGTTGTATAAGTATCATATGTGAGTCAGATACTAATTTAAAATATGTCAAAGCAAATAAAATAAATCATTTATTTAAAGACATTTGTCTAACTTTTACCATACTTGTTTAACTCTTTTATCATGTATCATACGAGGATCATATAAGTGTTAGACACCGATACGTGTCAGACACCACAACACATCTACTCTTAAAAATATTTGTACCTCATAGGTAACGATAAAACTTTATCGAAAAATTTATTTGACACTTAAAATAATTTTCTAGTTTCAATCGAATTTTATCATAAATAAGATTGAGAGATCAAACTCTTTTATGTCTTTAAAATGTCCAAATTCTCATCAACTTAGAAATGGTTTTTGTTGCACTCAATAAAGGTTGGCCCAAAGGCCCAAGCCAATACAACTATAACAACAATTGTCCCAAACAAATAACACACATGATTTTGAATAAGAAATGAAACATGACCAAGGAAACAACCTTAGTTCCAGAAATTGATCAATTAACAAACAATAATGGAACGTCTTCAATGGTTTTAAAAGACACCAATAGCTGTAGGATACAAAGCCTTAGCCTTGTAAGAAAGACAATTAGGAACATAAGTAGATGTCCTTTTCTTAGGAGGATCCATGGAAGCTAAGGCTGGTTGATTCAAATATGCATACCTGCTTTTTGTCCACCTGCATACGCCAAAACAAATACTATTATTATTTCTCTTTAATTACATTAAAAATTGTTGTGTACAAACTCCATTAAAATGGTTTTGTATTTGTCTCTTTAAATTAAGTTCAATGATAACTCTGTATGAATATCAGATTGTGGAAGCGTCATATCAAACTAAATTTTAACATGCCATATCTCTTTTATTTACTTTAAAACAATTTCAATCGCTCAACTACTTGATATATTTTCTATTTACGATTATAAAGTTAGAAAATAAGATGATTATTAAAATTTTGTGGGGTCTATTATGAAATAAAATGAATGATTGAAGCATTTGTTGTCTAGATACATTGTCATGTTTAGTCTCATCTTGAAATACAAGTTTTGTTAAGATATCACCTCACCAAAAGCTATGTCAAAACAATTTAACAACTTCACGTAAAGTATTTCTAAGATGCCACAATTAATATTTTTTATAGCAAAATGGAAATTTACTGACCAATCTTTTATTCCCACGCGCACTTCCTTGTCCTCATCAACTTTATTGACCTCATCTTCATCATGGTCATACTTTAAGCTCAATTCAAAGCTCAAATACTCTTGCTCCTGTTAACAAAAAGGATCCATATTCATAAATCTTAAGAAATATTGCTTCTACAACTTTAGAAAATTAACCATGATATAATATATAAAAATTCATCGACTACGCGTATGATTATACAATTGATGAACAATTTCTTTACAGAGAACTATAAAATTTTTGAGTTTGGAACTCCAAAATACAACTTCAGACTCAAAAACAAACTCTTTTATGTTTCGTTAATAATCAATCATATTCATCATAGCATAATTTCACGTATATACTATATATTTGATTTATTAAGACTTTAAATTCTATTTAGTCGCTGCATATGATCCAAATTGTATGAGCCTTACCGTGAGGTTGCGAGCACGGAGTCTTGCCGCGGCTTTGATAGCAGCAAGGAGATGATCCTCCTCCACAATTCTCTTTTGCTTCCAAAACCTTGCAATTTCTCGCTTTGTCACGCTCTCTTCTGCTCGTGGTTTTGAGATGACTCGGAACTTTGGTAGCGGAGGAGGAGGTGGCGGTGGTGATCTTCTAACAACCTCTTTCTTGGATCCAAAAGAACCAATTCCTTCTCCTTTTCTTTGCTTCATTCCGACCAACTTTGAGGTTTATTCACTTTGTCACTACTACTCAATGAACTTCTTAGCTGTTTTTATATCTGAAAAAGATTGAAGATTAGAGAAGGAATGAATTACCACAAGCTTAACCAACTATCCTACCTACCTTTCTTTCACACTACACCAATAGATAGACTTATTGTTGTATATGGAATTACTTAGCCAGAGAGAATATGCAATATTTATAGGCTATAGCCCCTTTCAATTGCGTGAGGATAACATAGAAAACAACAAAAAATGGACTGGTTGTTGCATTAATCTTAAGGTTTAAAATAGTATTAAAAAGTAGATAGTGTTACTTTTGGCTCAAGTTAGTGTGTCACTAACTCAAGAAAATTCATCATATAATAATACAAACAAAATTTATGTGCACTTCAAAATTTCATATTTATTAATCTCTACAATTATACGACCAGAACGATAAAAGATTCAGAAGAGTATTTATCTTGCCAGATAAACAAATTGTGTGATAGAGAAGTTAAAAAAAAAAATAGTGTATGATGCAATTCAAACAAACAAAACAACAAAGCTTTAAGATTTTTCTAAGTAACATTAATAGGGACTCCAATTATAAAAAGTGTGGGTCCTATAATCAAAGATAACCTTCTTGTATATTTTCATTTTCTTCCATCAATAAGGTTCCCATCACTGTCAAGAATCTTCAATGGATGGCTGCGATCTTCATAGGACATAACCAACTTGCAAATATAAAATATATTTCATGGCATAGTGATGCATATTTGTAACCTCTAATTATATTAATCAACGAGTGATGTTAATGTTAGTAAAGTAGTTTTTATTTGAAACTACAGCTAGAAAACCTCTCATTAGCCCTTATCCAAAGCAAAAGGCCAAAGACAACAGTATTGCCAAATATTTTAAACACAGAATAACTAAGTTGCAGTTATGATTTATATTAAAGAAGATTAGAACATCTATCATACCTTTAAGAGACATATTATAATGACAACTTTCGGTAAAAAAAAATTGAATATTCTGCTACCAAAGTTTTAAGGTATAATACTGTTGTAATTGTAAGATTCTTAGTTTAATTGAGAATTATAGATACTGTTGTGACTGTAATTGCAATTAGAGCAAGTTTTACTCTATATTCTTCAGCTTGGGATACAAAAAAAGCATAATATAAAAGCAACAGTTCAAAGATGAAAGGGGAACAAAAGGTGGAATCTTAACAAAAGAAAGGGTGTGGGAATATAATGAGTAAAGAAAAGAAACCAATGATAGTGAAAACACTGAATTACATAGAAAAAGAATTATGCTTCAGAAGGAAAATACTATATTGCATAAGCTGGTTTTTCAGTTTATAAATTCTACTACACTACCATGAGACTGCTAAAACTAAAAACCTTTACTCGAGTCGACCTCGTCATATTCATTCATCCAACAGGTTTCGAATTGATATCTCAAATTGAGAAGTCTAGTTTAATAACTGTACAAGTTTCTTAATCAATAGTTAGACTCAACTTAATTATACACCAGAAAACATGATGCACATAAAGCTCAACACCAAAAAAGTATTACACCTTCATCCTGAAACACCACAATAGCAGATAATTCGATAGATAAACATGGGGCGTAAGAAGTAAGAACTGAATTATCGACAACCAATTTCAACAAAGTATAAGAATTGAATTATCAAAGCCATGTCCAACCACACTTTCCCCGCCGCTCAATCTTGATGACGCAGCTGCAGGTGTTAGGAAACCTGAGATAAGATTGAATAGATAGAACACTTTTATCAAGAAAATATGAAAGAATAAGAGAGAAAACTCTCCTCCAAGGGTTTCTTGTTCTACAATAGAGTCGCTATTCTATTCACTAAAAGTTTAAAATATTTTCAAAATATCTTCTCTATCCTTGAATTCTCCTAATTATACATGATACTCTCCGGTTAATCAATTAACTAACTAACAAACTCTCTAAACTAATTCTCCTTTTCTTAATATCCTAACAGCTGGACTTGAGAATCTGGATTTGCTGCAGTTGCTGCAGTCACCAAATCAACATTGCTGGATTAAGCTTGGACCTCTCATCTTCATAATATAAACCAGTGGACCTTATAATTATTCTTTCTGAAGACTATATCTATAAATAAATACCAACTTGGCATACAACACGTAACCAAGCATGATCTGCATAAATTGTCCCCTATAAATAAATACCAACTTGGCATACAACACGTAACCAAGCATGATCTTCATAAAATGTAAGCTTTAAGTAACATGTTACGTGATTAACTATTTCTCTTGAAATTTGGGTTGAATCTAAAAAGTTCATCAATCCTTACAAAACTGACTTCTAAGATGGAAATTGCTTCCGCTTATAAACATAAGTCATATCTCATTCATTCAATATGAAACTCTTAACACACACACCCTCAAGTCCAACACTAGACATACGGAGCAATCCATACAAAACTGATTTCTAGGTTGAGAATTGTTTCCGCTTATAATCATAAGTCATATCTCAATCAATATGAAGTCCAAGACTAGACATCAAGAGCCGGCCTTACAATAGTGACCTTGGTTAGCTAAACGGATTTTAGATCAAATATACTATCCTCTTAAATTTTCATATTGAACATAACTCATACTTACGAAACCTTACAAAACCGGCTGATAAATATAAGAATCGTCCCGGTTCCGGTTCATAAACACATGTTAAGTCATATATCATTAATCTAATGGGAGACTCTAACCAATTTCCCTAAAATCAGTTAATGTGAACAGGTGGATAATACAGTTCTCCTAATGCACCATAAATTACCAACTGACATATTAAAATGAAATTTCTACTAATTTGCAAAGAGAGGTTCACAAACCCTAAATCATCATCATACTCAAATCATAATTAAAAACAAGAGAAAATAGTAAACAAAACAAACCACTTTATTTCAATGTGAAAAATTACACCAACTATACACATACCCTATATATTAACACAATCCTGAAACATGTAAACTGAGTTTCACTTCCAATTTCAATTTGAATTGATTCGAATTGCTTTGGATTTAAACCTATACCTAGGAGCTCTAGGAATAACTTGACTAGGACCCATATGAAACTGACCAGTAGAATTAGTAACAGGAGGACCATCATCGTATATATAACCAACGAGATGATTACAACTATTACACTTGATCTTAGTTCTGTTTCTATGAATTCCCCAATAGTCGAGTGTTTCGAAGAAAGGACGAATCTTATCTTCTTTTTCGAATTTGAACTTGGTGGCGTCGACTGCGGAGAAGGAAATTGAGTTTTTGTTTCCGGATTCGAAGTAGAAGTCGGGTGGGTAAGCGCAGGCGGAGTTGAGATTGAGATCGGTGTTGCATTCAGCGCAAGTGTAGATTGAATTCATTGTTGTTGGTGCGGAGAGAGGTAGAGAGGTAGGGTTTTGTGACTCGGAGAAGAGAGTGGTTTTGTATTGGAGGAAGGAACGGAAACGGACTTTTTTTCTATAAAAAGTCCAAAACGCGTCGCGGTTGATTGTGGAACGGTCCACTCTCGGTTCGAGAATGTTGTATGATTGGAAATTTTGCCTCTCTTATTTAGATCCTTTTTTTAATTAAAATTTTATCTGATTTAAAAATAAATTTAATTGTGATTTGAATTTAATTTTAAATGATTGATTAAAATGATTTGATTTTTATACGATCCTTTTATGTGTTTATTTTGAATAAAATTTTTAATACTTAAATTGGAAATTATATTTTTTATTAAGATTATAGAAATATTATATAACATTTAGTATATTAAAAATTAATATTATAAAATGAAAATCCTCGATTATAATTAAAATAAATAAAATAATAAATAAATAAATTAAATTAAATTAATAAATAATATTAAATAATAAATATTATTAAATAATAAATTAATATAAAATATCATATTAATAAATAAATAAATAAATAAGTATAAAAATTATTTAATTTTAGTATTAGTTTCACTATCATTATCTTAGTATTGGTGTTTAAATTCAAACAGATTTAAATAAAAATTCCAAATCGAATACAAATTGCAAAAAAAATTGAATAGTATTAATTTTAGTTAGATGTTATTTTGTAAAGACTAATTTGAAAAATTAATATGAAATTTGATTCGAAGATAGTAGTCTTTACAAAATAACATTTAACTAAAATTAATATTATTTAATTTTTTTGCAATTTTTATTTTTTTTTATCGATTTGGAATTTTTATTTGAATTTGTTTGAATTTAAACACCAATATTCTTATCATTATCTTATCACATTTATATTTTTAAAATTTTTTTAATTTTCTTCTTTTCAACTATCTTTTTTTTTTTAAATTAAAAAATCCATACAATAGAGAAATTTGCTTAAAGAATTTGATACATCATTTTTATTTATTGAATAAGTATTTCTATGGATTATATATTCATAATCGATTGATCTCGAGTATGGGTTACTGCGACTATAAGGTATTGTCCGCTTTTGATAAGACAAAACGGGTCAAACCAAATGGATCGATTTGAAAGCCCGTAAAATTATGGGTTTGAGCGAAAAAAATTAGATATATCTCTGGAACAATTTCAATTTTTAAACATTCAAAGCATGTCACTCATGACCCATTTACATTTGAATTATTTCGGAGATGCATCTACGGGAATATTATGGAGATACATCTCTGAAATGTATCAAAACAAGTTTTTTTTTATAACAAGTTGTGTATTTGTTTTCAAATGAAGTATGAAGCACGGTCTCGAATAAAAAGCAAATGTACAAATTAATAAAAGACTAATATTGCGTGTGTCAAAAATAATATAGCAATATAATAGTAAAATATCGTACTACATGAGATCTAAAATGTAGTAACAATGTCAAAAATAAAGTACAAACTATAATACATCATCAAAATAATAACAGGCAACTACTGGGTGTGTCTGACAACCTCTCATCTACTCCATCGATCCCCCTTCCTCCGGCGATGTCTCTGGTACAACAGTGTTCCATGTGTCTCCGCCACCATGGCATCCAAGACTCGCCTAAAAGCACACCCCTTAGAGAAGATACCATCGGCAATGCTTGTTCGCGCAATCTCAACTATGCAACGACACTGAGTCAAGACATCCTCAATATGATCTAGATGAGTATGCTTCTCCTCTAAAATCTCTGGATGAGTTGGTCTTATCGGATCTCCTGGAGCAATCTGCACTATGTACGGATGTGAGACCCTGAAGAACCACCTGATGTATTCGTTCACATAGCTACAGTCGTTTGGCGCTATGGTAGCTCGAGCCTCTTCCGGTACCAAGTGACTATCATAATCAACAACATATCCTCTATATGTCTACTAAACAAGGTAGGAGGAGCAGAAACAGCAGGGTGTCTGGGGATGGTCTGGGTGTACCTGAATTGCCGCGTGACGCGCTCGGGAAAACGAGGAGCAAAAATACGCAATTTGTAGGCCAGTCATCCGAAATATAGCGATATGTCATCAAATGGTTGCGTCCGACATTGATCCATGTAGCTGTTGAAGTGGCACTTGTGTCTATACAAATGCAAGTGCCAACCAAATACAAAAAATATGCCCTCAAAGAACGAGCCATGTGTATCGCCACTTGTTTAGCATCGTCATCATCGGCCTATGCAGTAAGGATCTCACCATCATATATCTCATTTAGGAACTAAAATCTAGCATGAGTACCCCTAGTTTTATCCACCTCCTCAACCACCTTCCTTGGATCAGCCCCTAAATGCTCTATCATCATCTTGACTTCCTCGTCTTCGATCATCTTACCATGATTGAGGAATTTCCCCTTGATCGAAAGATGTAACAAACACGAGACATCATCTAGTGTGATAGTCATCTCATTATGCAGGAGATGAAATAAAAAGGTCTCGAAATGCCATATCTCCACGAATGCATTAAGCATCTCGTGGTTGACCAGAGTGTAATTGGTCATGCATATGTCCTTCAGGCCAGATAACCCAACAAAATCCTGAAACCAAACCTCTTTCTGCTAAGGCAATGTAACAATATTCTTCTCATGGTTAAGAAACTTCTAAGGGTTACGCACCTGAAATTTGCCAGAAATAAACTATGCTAGTAATACTTAATTTCATAAATAAATAATGTAAGCAATAAAAATTAATGAAAAAGTCAAACTAATGTTACCCCTCCATCCCATATATGTCTGGCAATGTGGTCTGGATATAAAGGAAGTAATGACAGATCATATGGGCCTTCACCAAAACCCTTTGGATCGGCAACCGCAACAGATTCACCCTCTGAAGGTGGTACTGGATCAACAGGATCATCAGCAGGAGGTGGCACTAGTGAGTTTTAACACCTGCAGAAGGATGGGAAAAGTGACTCACCAGATGATGAATCTCGTCTCCTACAGGAAAAAGAAGAAGATGGAGTGGCCTGAGATGAAGGTGGAGTAGTCTGAGGTGATGAACGAGCCCCGAGAGTAGATTACGCCCCAGAAGTTGACGCCTCTGTCTGATCAGAAGTACCTGCTGGCCTCCGCTCTTGTAGGAAGGATGTATGCTGGGAAACCCGATCATGTCTCAGTTTGTTGACTCTGTTAGCCATAATACATGTAAGGTAAATTACGATGTATCATTTGTAACACCCTTCTAAATCCCACAGAAAAATAAGCATAATCAGAGTAAAAGTAACATGCATTCACAAAGGGTGTCACACATATACTACCAAATTACTAAAAACCACCTATCATGCTCAAAAACACTTAAATAAATAATCATGCTTTACAAAATTTCATTTGCATGTAACAGCGGATTCATTTACTTCACATATTTTTCATAAAAAAAATATTCGCATTTATCACATAAATCAACATCACTTAGGCACTGAGGCCAACAACACAGAATACATCCGAAAAGTAACCCAAACGATCCCAGTGTTACACGACCAGAGCATGACTTGACCCAATACAATTAAATCACTAAACAGATACACCAATAGCGACCTCGCAACTACGAGCAGTACTACACCTTGATACCTGCACGATGTCACGAAGGACATCATTCCAACAGAAGGGTGAGAAATATTATCATAATAACAATGCATATAATCATGTATAAATGCACAAACACAGAATACATATATTCCACATTTTCTCACCACAATACATTATAAACGTCATATATGTCACAACATACGTTTACCTAATTAAGCACATTCATCAATTCACATAAACACACTTGACATGTTTATTTCACCAATACATCATATAAAGATGATAATGCAACTCATAGAGACCGAGTCACGATTATATGCATATGCAAATGCGGTACCGACTCGTTCAGTAGGTTCAATTGAAGAACCAAAAGGAACCATCGCTCGTTACCGAGTAACTCCCCGTCGGGCCTACGATGTTCACCCATCGCTCACACCCCACATGTGCACACAATGTTTCAGGATTGCTCACACCCCACAAGGGCACACAATCGTTCTACAGATCTTCCACGGGATCAAGAATAAACCATCGCTCACACCCCACAAGGGCACACAATCGTTTCTGCAGATCCTCTACGGGATCAAGAATAAACCATCGCTCACACCCCACAAGGGCACACAATCATTTCTGCAGATCCTCCACGGGATCAAGAATAAACATTGCTCATACCCCACAAGGGCACACGAGGTTTCTGCAGATCCTCCACGGGATCAAGAATAAACCATCGTTCACACCTCACAAGGGCATACGAGGTTTCTGCAGATCCTCCACGGGATCAAGACACAAGAATACAATCATGATGCTACACATGCAAAACGACTCCACACACTCTTGAAATGCATACATAACCACAAATATATACAATTAGCATTACACCACACACACAAGTATATACAATTATACACATAATTGCCAAACGGCCACATCTCACACTTTCATACAACAATCACATATACATACCATATGACTCATATAAACTCATCAACTCCCGCAAATCCTCATATGGATTATGAGTACATCGCATATACCCCACCAGGAACAACATCACAGTTATTCTACCCCGGTGATTACTACACTAGGAACGACACCTTGTCATTCTACCCCAGTGAGTAAGAATCTCGCACGCTTACATATTCTCAACATCATTAACATACATATATTCTCATGCATTCTTCACACCTTATCACATAAAATCAATATACAAACACAAGGTCGCGCCAACTGCAACAAACTCAATCACATACATCATGCATTCATGTTTAATTCAAACAATGCATATAATTGCCAAAAGGTCATACTTCACAATCTAAGATTCACGCCATAAGGCTACCCACAACACGTCTTATCTAAATAATACACGAATTATTCCTGTTATACAAGGATTAACATAATTGAACCAAACAATCAAC